GGCAGGGTCGCGGCGGGTGAGGGAGGAGAGGAAAAGGCCACCCGGGTGCGCAGCCCATTGTCCTCGCGGCCCTGTTCTGCACCTGGCCGGGAAATTGCGGGAAGGTGGACAAGATGGACACATACAGAAGCGGGTTTGAGAGAGGCCGCACCCCGGGGAAGGGCATGTGTGGGGCCAGCACAAGGGAGAGAGTGCAGATTAAGCGCGCTGCACCCCTCACTTGGTGCACGGGGGCGGGGTGGGGGACCCAGACCAGAGAAGGTTCAACCACACGCACGCACGCTTGCACATACACTATGCGTGGCACCATAAAGTTCTGCGGAGCAAAATGGATTTCGAATGTGTTTTCCTTTCCTTTCCATGCCCACTTTTCCCCTTGGTGGTACTGGGAATTGAACTCAGGAATGCCGAACTACTTCCCTAGACCTTTTAATTATATTTCGAGACGTTCTTTCTAAAATGTCCAGGCTGGCCTCAAATTTGTAATCCTCCAGCCTCAGCCTCCGGAGTAGCTTGGATTAACAACAGGCACCACCCAACCCAGCCCCGATTTCTCTTTAAAACAGGTCTGGAGAGCTCTCCCTACAGCTGGTGGCCATTCAAAGCATAAGCTGTAGTCTTGGGGCAGCCCTTTTCTGTATGATCTTGGGTAAGTTACTTCATCTTTCTGAGGCTTAATCAGTATGAGAATCGAGGGATTCTCACGTTATGGTTGGCACTCAGCGAAAGTTATCTTTCAAGCCAAATTTGGGGAGCACTCCTGTAATCCCAGTACTCTGGAGGTTGAGCCCAGAGGATTGGAGGAAATCAAGGCTGGCCTGGACTACACAGGGAGACCCTGAATCAAGGAAAAGTTTGCCTTCTTAAACCTGACGACACAGGGTGATTTTGTTCAGGGGGATTTCCTGTGAGATGTAGTCCCTGCCTAGGCCTCTGGCACCTGTGCACTTCTAGCTCCCCTGAAAGCACTGGGCAAGTTAGGGGTTGAGGAGCCCTTACCTCTAAGGCAGGGTCAGCTTAGTCCCTAGGCCCCATCCTCTCCCCTCCCAACTCTACCCCTGGCAGCCTTTGAACTGCAGCTGAGACCTAGGCCAAGGCAGGAAGACAGTGTTTAGAGAGGGTGAACATTGCTCTTCAACTCTTAAAGGCTGTTTGTTAGCTAGTTAGATTTTTTTGTTTTTTGGGGTTTTGGTTTGGTTTGGTACTAGGGATTCAACTCAGGATCTCGCTCTTGCCAAGCAGGCGCTACATCCCCTGCCTAGTTAGTTTTTTGAGACAGAGTCTCAGTCATTAAGTTAGTTGCTCCAGCTGAGCTCAGATTTACAACCCTCCTGCCTCAGCCTCCAGAATGCTAGGGATATAGGCATGGCATGCACCACCATGCTGGAATTCTTCATGGACTTTTTTTTTTTTTGCTTTCATTATTTTCCTGTCCTGGACCCCACCTTTCTAAAGCCTTTCCAGAATTCAGATTGATAAGTGTCCAAATGCAACTGTTAGCTCCTGTCTGAAGCAGTGACCATCATGTCTAGGAGTCAACCTGCATTTTATTCACTTATTTATTTATTTATATGGTATTAGGGGTGTGCTCTACCACTTACCTATACTTCTACCCCTGCGTTTGAATTTTAGGTCCAAGTCTGCCTGCCTTTCTTTCTTTCTTTTTTTTCTTTTTTCTTTTTTATTTTTTTTTTGTGAGACAGGGTTTTCACTATGGAGCCCAGGCTGGCCTTGAACTCACAGTGATCCTCCTGCCTCAGCCTCCTGAGTGCTGCGATTACAGACATGTGCCACCATGCCCAGCTTGCGTTTGAATTTTAAATCTAGCCTCTAAGATGGTAGTCTCCCAAAAGTGATTACTGGGGTGGAATTTAATTTACCCCATCTTTTTTACATGCCCAATCGGTACCAGGCACTGTGAGGAATACCAAGACTAGGAAGACAAAAAAAAAATTTCATTGCAAAGAAGGTGTGAGCTTTGGGAGATGATTGAGAATGTTCAATGAAACTGAAGGAAAGTTCTTTGGAAAAAGTAAAACCTCTGTAATACATGTTTACAAGTTTTATTCCTTTTATTATTTTTTAAGTCAGTTAAATTCCCTCATAACCTGCTGATGATCTTCAGAGTCTAGAAGTTACAGACTTTTCCCTTATCAGAGAAATAAGGCAAAGGCTGTCCTCTAGAACTGCTAGGGTGAGGGAACTGGTCCTTTGGTGTCTGAACATTGTGAGCAGTTTAACTGCCTCTCATTGTGTGCAACACTGTTTGATCCACAAGCCTGGGTTCAAATCCTGATTGTTGAAATGTTCCCCCACCACCTTGGTAGACAAATCTATTTGAACTTCACAATCCAGAAAATAATTATAATAATCTCTACCTCAAAAAAGTTAAGGGCACATGATACAAGATAGAATTTAAAGGGCTGGGGATTTAGCTCATGGTTCTGCTGCCTGCCTCGCAAGTACAAGGTCCCAAGTTCGATCCCCAGTACCAAAAAAAAGAAGCAACAAGATATAATTTGTAAAGCACTAGTACAATATAGATTTTCAGAAAATAACTTCTCTTCTGCTTGCTCTGCGGGTGCCTGTCCATCTACCTCAGAAGCAGAGCCAGATCTTGGACATCTCCAGGTCAGTTAACCCCAGGGTAACGTGGCTGAGTCAAGTGAGGCTGGCTTTGGGGAAGAGAGAGGGGAGAGGGGACTGAGTTCCAAAGTTGACACCTAAAAACGAGTATTCATTCTCCAAGAAAAAACGTCAGAGCTAGGAGTGTAGCTTGGTAGTGGAGAGTGTGCTTAGCATGTGCAAAGGCGCTTTTTTTTTTCTTTTCTCAAAGGCCCTTGTTTGATCCCCACCTCCTCCATGCACTCTGAGACATGGACAGCTTGAAATTTCCATATTTCCAATGCTGAGTCTTTCTGCATAGAGAAAAGTGTTGTTTCTGGGACCTCCCCAATACCTCAGTGGCTGAGAGTCTGCCTTGCTTTTCTCTGTCTAGTAGAATAAAACCCTCATAGGTCCGAGCTTCTTTCCCAGGAGATCCTTTGGAAGGTCAGAAGGAAAAGCTTGGAGGGAGGCAAAGCTGGGTGCAAATCCTGAATCTGCTACTTGCCAGATATGTGACCCTGGCCTGGCACATTCACCTCTCTAAGTCTGTATCACCTTGTCCATAAAAGATGGGGTATAGCTAAGGGGATAGTTCAATGGTAGAGTACTTGCTTAGTTTGGGTGAAGCGTTGAATTAGAATACCCAGCACTTCAAAACAAACAAATAACAACAGATAAGAAGGCAAACAGAACTCAGTGAACAATAATGATGATGATAATAATAATAGCAGCTCTGAGCGCTTCTGAGCTGGACTGTAGCTTATCTTGAAGACCCCTGAGATCTCCACCCTAGTCATATGCTTCCCATATACCATCTTCCTCAGTTTTGCCCACATTGCTGAGAACAGTCTGAGCCAGCCACCACCAAGCTCACCTGGCACCTCCATTCCCACTCCAGAGAGGTGACCTCATGCCACAGAACACAAAGATAACATTGGTTCTCATAGCACTGTCCCTCGTTCCCTGGGATCCTCCAGGCTGTGAGTTAAATGGGTATGATTTCCTTTCGATTTGATTTTTTACAGAGGACCTAAGTGGGGCTGAGTGAGGGTGGGAAGTCTGGACAAAGGATTTGATTTGAAATCTCTTGTGCGTTATCACCTAGGTGTCCAACCATACTTTGGGGTCCAGAGGCACTGCTGAGGATGGATGTTTTTTCTATGTACGGCTGGAAAGTCTTCAGCATACCTTTCCAGGCACCTTGAAAACAAGCAGGTGCATACTAGGAAAGGCAGCATCTGGGACTGTTCAGAGACCATGGCATCCCACCCTTATACTGAGAAGAAGTAGGAGGAAGAGGAGACAGTGAGTCAGAGGAAGAGGAGACCTGGATCCTGGCCATAGGTCAACCACTGGCATCCCAAGTAGCCTTGGGTAAGTTTCTGAGGTCCCCTTGACCTCCAAGTCTGCAATGTAAGTGAGGAAAAGATAGTAAGGTAGATTGATAGAAGTCCAGTCTAGGCAAAAGAAAAAAAAGACATCTGTGATTCTCATCATCATTACTTTCACTTTGAAATCAACAGCTCAGAGACCCCACTTACCACTTCATTTTAAATTTTTAAAGACAAAACAATATAACTTTTGAGGACTTTCTGCCAACTCCTCAAAAAAAAAAAAATCAGAGAGCACAACATTGAAATCTTTTTCTTGCTTTTGGCAGAGGAAGATTCAGTTCCTGGAAATGCTTACAAAATGATTCCTGACACTGGGAGGAGATAGTTAAAAGAAAAGGGGGCGGGAGTTGTATACATATATAGATAAAGGAGGAAGGTGGAAAGAAAATGAATATACAGAAGAACAGGAAAGAGAGGGAAAGAGAGAGAGAGGAAGGGAGGGAGGGAGGGAGAGAGAGGAGAGAGAGTTAGAGTTAGAGTTTAAAGGGCCCCAATTCAAGGAACGTTATCAAGTTCCCAGCATCTGCAATTCACCAGCAGCTCGCGGGTCGGGCGGCGCAGGCTCCGTCCCATTCTCGGGTGTCGGGCGCTCATTGGTGGGGGAGGCAGTCGCCGGCCGGTGACTGCCCGAGGAAAGGTTGCCTGGGACACGCATCCCTGTGTGAACGCATGACGTCCCACCCTGGCGCCAGGCTGTCTGGGGCTGAGTCTTAGATCAACACAGCTGTGGGACCGGGACCCACAGCTGGGCAAAGGAGCGGATTCCTCAACAAAAAATAGGATTGTGAGAAAAGTTCTGAAACAAAAACAGCGCAGACAAAAGCCTTAATGACATCCTTTCATAAAAATAAAAAATGCAAGAGGGGGGAAAAAGCTGGTAAAAGGAGCAGAACTGGGAACAGAAAGTTCAGAGGCATTTGGAATAAGAAGCTGAGGCCCCGCCACCGCTAAACAAGTTGCAGAAGGCCTGAGCTTAGTCTGTCCAGTCCGCTATGGTGGTAAAGAACTCTATTCACCGTTCCCAAACCTGCCTTAACCCGGTTTTTTCAGAGTTAGAATCTTAGTTTGGAAAAGACTCTTAAAGGTCATTTGCCCCCCACACACACCCTGGAAAGTAAGGTCCAGCCAGAAGAAAAGAAATTTGTCTGAGGGCAAGATACTGGCACAAACAGAACAGAATTCCACTTGTTAACCCACTGCACCCTTTGGCCTGTGTCGCAGCCCATGGGTATTTCCTTGGAAGCATCATGGGAAATAGTAAATGTGAAGGTGTTTGCAAGGCATAAACCACGACACAAGCCTGAGGCATCAGCAGTAGTAATGTAGGAGGGAAAAGGGGAAAAGAATCTGGGTGGGCCCAGCAAGGCCACACACCTGGCCCCATGCTGGGCCCCTAGGCACCAGGGAGACCAAGAGATCAGATGGAGGGACCTTGTCAAGCACTGTACAGCAGAGAAGAGGCAGTCTATAGTTAGTTGTTGAATGAGTGAGGTTGGTCTGAGTGGCCCCATTTTATAGACTGGAAAATTGAAGCACAGGTGATTTTACTCCACATTTGTACAGTTAGTAAAAGAGAATAATGGGGATTTGAACATAAATCTACCTGGCTCTGATTTTTCTAGAACCTTCTGGCTTTCCTTTTTTTTTTTTTTTTTTTGGTACCAGGAATCAAACTTGAGACCTTGTGCTTGTGAGGCCAGCCGCTAGCGGCACCACTGAGCTAAATCCCTGGCCCTGGCTTTACTGTTTTGCACAAACCACAGGAATCTGTGTGATAGGAAAAGAAAGGATCTTCTGTCTGGACATTGAGGAGTCCCTACAGCCACCGTTTTCCCCTCCCATGATCAAATCACTGATGCATCTTTAGCATATAGAGACTAACTTGTTCCTTAACAGGTTATTTTCACCCTCTTTCCTGTAGCAACAAGGTTGTACTTGAAAACATTAATATTCCAAGAAGAAAACTTTTGAAGACCTCTTTCCTGAGACACAGCGAGACCCCTATGGTATGATGGCTTCTATTCTTTGTGGTGTGGTATTGGACATTTCTCATGATATCTCCTCTCTGGGCCCTTTGCCATCCCACACCTGCTGATCCCAATTTCACAAAACCTTAGACTTAAAAGAGTTGGAAAGGATTCAAAATAATCATCTCCTCATTTTACTCACAAGGTAACTAAAGCCAAGGTACCTGGACTTCTTCAAGATTGTATGGCCAAGGGCTGGAGATTTAGCTCAGTGGCACCATGCCTGCCTGGCAAGCATGAGGTACTCAGTTCGATTCCTGGTACTGCAAAAGAAAGAAAGAAAGGAAGGAAGGAAGGAAGGAAGGAAGGAAGGAAGGGATTAAAGTGACCAATGGTCAGCAGAGCTGGTGTGTTGAACTCACACTCCCCAAGATTCCTAGTCAAGTGTCCTTTCTACTATATAACTATTTGGAAACAGTCCTAGCTCTGAGCTCCTGTTGTCCTGTTAATCAGTGCCACACACCATTGAACTCTTAATTGCTTCCTGTGTTAATCTTGTCTTCCCAAATTATGAGATTCTTGAGAACAGGAGCCACTGTTTTACGTAAAGTGACTCCATAAATATTTACTAACTGATGATAGATTAAGAGAGCAAGCAGTGGGGGAATCCCATTTAGTCATTTCCAAGATGGAAACCAGAATCTTGGAACTGCAGATTCCCAAAAATCCTTTGAAGGGACAAGAAGACAAGCAAAGAATATTGAGCACAATGTCCTTTTGCAACATCGGATTTAACTCGCCTGCCCACTAGTGTCTTTCTGATGATCTCTTAGATAAACTTGGAGCTACTTCAGCAGGGCGAAGAATAATCAAGCCCAGGTGGCTGCCTTTCCATAGCAGAAGGGAATAGACAATAGAGTGATGAAATTATCATTGTTTTCTGCACAGAAATGTGTGGAAAGTTGAGGACAAACGGGGAAGCAAAAGTTAAAATAGATTTGCTGACCCAAAGGGGAGGGAGCTCCTAAAAGGGTTATATAGAAATTGTTCCTTCTTGTCCCCCATATTTGAAACCCTGTACAAAAGTCTAGTCAAATTCACTTCTGAAGAACAACTGGGCATATATTTGGTTCCTTATGGAGTTTCATGGGGCAAAAGGTCTGAGCTCTTTTCTTTCTCCATGCAAAAAGCATGAATTCAAGGCTGCTTTCTTTTCCTTTTTTTTTTTCTTCTTTCCCCCTGTTGCTCAAATAAATAGTGTTCTTTGCTCAAAACCCCTTTCCCCTCCTCCTTCTGCAATCTCAGCGCCTAGCCCAAATCTGTTTTCTTCATTGTAACCTCAGCTTCACCGCAATTAATTTTTTTCCCCTCTGGTCACAAGATAATTCCTGACGCCAGTGAGTCTGGAGGTCAGACGAACAGCAAATTGGGGAACAAGGCGGCACTAATTCCTTACAAGTTTCCCTTGAAAAATCTTTTGCTTAAGGAAAAAAAAAAAAAAGCTTCTTAGCTGTTCAGGGATTTATGACCTCGGAGGAGCTGTGGGTTCGAACTAGTGTTGGGATAAGAGTGCACTGGCAGGGGGCAGGGGAGCTCAAAGATCTGGGACACTGCCAGGAAAAGGCAAATTCTTAAAGTTAATGGTTTTAAATGATTTTTAAAATCCTTGCTGGCCAAGAGGCCCGCCTCTCCCCAGTATCAGAGCTTCCTCATTCTTTGAACCCGTGGCTCCGCGGACTTCGGCGTCAGACCAGCGGGAGGAAGCCTGTTAGCAATTTAAACGGGCTGTGAACGCCCAGGGTTGTGGGAGGCAGGGCCAGGATCGTCGGGGGCGTGGCCAGAGCGGGTTATTTCGAATAAAGGGGCGTGTCATCGAGGCGGGTTCTATAAGTGCGGGCGGCTGCAGGCGTGCGCGCGTTTCGAGCTCTTGTAGCGCGCTTGGTGATTTTCTTGGTTCTCTCAGCATCTCCAGCCTCAATCCCCGACATGAAGGCGCTGAGCCCAGTCCGCGGCTGCTACGAGGCGGTGTGCTGCCTGTCGGAACGCAGTCTAGCCATCGCGCGGGGCCGCGGTAAGAGCCCAGCAGCCGAGGAGCCCCTGAGCCTCTTGGACGACATGAACCACTGCTACTCGCGCCTGAGGGAACTGGTGCCCGGAGTCCCGCGAGGCACTCAGCTTAGCCAGGTGGAAATCCTGCAACGCGTCATCGACTACATCCTCGACCTGCAGGTGGTCCTGGCCGAGCCAGCCCCTGGACCCCCAGACGGTCCGCATCTCCCTATCCAGGTAGGTGCGCGTGGAGCCGGGGCGGGGCGGAGCCGAGCGACCGGGTTGGGATGCAGCGGGAACACCCCCTCCCCCAGGTCTCCGAGTGCTCCGCGTAACCTTTCCCTTTTCCTCCTTTCTCAGACATCTGAGCTTGCTCCGGAGCTTGTGATCTCCAACGACAAGAGGAGTTTCTGCCACTGACCGGCAGTCCTGGCACCTCCAGGTAAGTGATCTCCTTGGGGTGGGTTGGAAGGCCGAAGGCATATATGGCATATGGGAGTTGACGGGCCCTTAAAAGATTGTTAGGGAAGCTGAGGCCAGAGAGGGCCAAGTGACCATGGTCACTTCAAATGATCGGCAGGACCAATATTTAGCGTGCGTTTCAGCTTTAAACGCACGTTGCCTTGCCCCACCCCAGTGGCCAAAGATCAGGGAAAGTAGGCGCAAGTCCCACTAAATAAAATAACCTTTCTGTTTGGAGTTATAAAGGGAGCTGAGTGTTGCTTCGGCCCCTTCCAACATGTGTCACTTCCAAGAGAGGCAGATAGCGGCAGCTCCGCCTGTGGTCCTTTGGCACCGACTGGGTGGGGGCTGTGTGGAGCGCGGAGTTATCAGCTGGAGGTAGAGACCAAGTTTCCTCCCTGGCGCCGGCCAGTCTGCGGGTGGCCTCCGCCTCGGCGCGCTCTGCGGAAACTGACGGCTCCCTGGTCTTCTTTCCTCCCCCGTCCAGAATGCAGGTGCTGGCACCCGTTCCGCCTGGGACCTGGGGACCCTCTTCGGCCGGAAGCTCGAGGGCATGGATGAGCCCCAACCTCGCCCGGCCCACTTTACTTCCCCAGACCCCTACCTTGAGGTTGGACCTGGAGCCCGGGAGTGAAGGACTGTGAAGTTGGGTGGCCTGAAGAGCCAGAGCTAGCGCTGGCCACCGGTTCGGCGACATCACTCTCCTCCCACCTCACCCCCAAGTTTTAAGGACTTGTCTTTTCAGAGCGTGGAGGGCTGGGGAGTAGGGGATAGCTGCTCTCTTAACTCTGCCAAGGCGGCGTTAGAGCTGGTTTTCTGGTCTCCTTGGAGAAAGGCTCTGTTGCCCTGATTATGAACTCTATAATAGAGTATATAGCTTTTGTACCTTTTTTACAGGAAGGTGACTTTCTGTAATCATGCGATGTATATTGAACTTTTTATAAAAGTTAACATTTTGCATAATAAAAATGGTTTTTAATCACTTCATGATCTCGTCACTGGCCTCTCCATTCCTTAAGTACTAATGCTCTTTCTCATGTAGTAACTTTAGGGAAATGACTATCCTTGGTGTTTGGGAAGAGTAGACTTGCTTATTCCCTTGAGGTGAGAAAATTCCCAGATGAAAGTGAGGGGCAGGGTGGGATGGGGTGTGGAAAGGGATTATGAACCCAAATCAATTGGGGGGGTTCAGCAGAGAAAAGATCCCGGTCCTGACCCCTTCTCTGACAAGGCTAGCACAAGCTCACCCAGCAAGGCAGGAGCTAAGTTCTCAGTTCCTCTGAGATCTGGCAGTGTCTGTCCTCTTCGATGTCATTAATTACTCATGCCTACTAGCAGGGGATGTGGTAGAGTTGCACCTTGAGCTTGTCTGTCTCATCTGGTGCCCAGTCATGGGTGGTGGCTGATAGTCCCATTTCAGAGATGAATAAATCGAGCATGGGGCCTGGTTTCATTTCTTTCATGCTTTCTGGTATGGCTTCCCCCTGGGCTTCTGAAGTTGGGGAAAGGAGCAGGAGCTCTGCCCTCAAAATCTGCAGCTACTCTGGCAAGGACTTGCAGGTTAGTTGGGAAGTGCTGTACCAATCCCTATATAGGTTTGTTCCTATTTTAGAAGTGGGAAAGTGGGGCTCAGTAGTAATGGATCTGAACCAGGTCCTCAAAGCCCCTTGAGAGCAGAGGTAGGATCTGAACCTTAACCACAGTCACTGGGTCTGAGGTGGGCAGGATCAGGGACTGTAACTGGCTATTCCATGCAACCAGGCCTCCGAGTGGGACAGAAGGTAAGACTGGGACAGAAGGTAAGACGTCAATGCCACCACCTACTGCCCCCCACCTGGTGGCTCCCCAGGTGGGCTCCACTGGCACCTGGCCTTACTGGATTCCTGTTTATGATATGATGTCATCTTTGTGTTGGCCCTTGGCATGTGTTACTTTAGTGTTTCATAACAAACATGTCATGTCATCACCCTTTGTGCCTTAACCCTGATGAGCTTTCTGGGGTACACAGGGGCATGGGGGGTACAGCCTCTTTCTCTGCCAACCATCCTCCTAGCCTGACCAGTTCATCCCGTTTCTAGTCCAGATTCCTCCAATGACCTAATAGTAATAGTATGCAACACTCTTTACAAAGTATACATATACATACATACATAACAGTCCTCAACCTCCTCCGGAATCCCTTAGGTCCCCTATGAAAAACCAAACCAAATGCAGGACCCCACTTAGGTCTGCTTTAGACCGTATGATAGGGGTGCTATGATGGCTCTGAGGACAGCCACAGGAAGGTATAAATCCCTGCCTGCCACAAAGGCTAGAGGCTGTCTATTGAACCTCAGCTTCCACATCTGTAAAAGGGAGCTGATTTTGAGATGCCTGGCCCTATATGACACCATTAACTACAATACATCCAAGTGTTTAAATTCCATGGCCTGTACCCATTTCTGCACAGTGTCTGGCCTCCTGCTTGCTTGGAAGCTACAGGACTGGGATGGACTGAAAGAGCTGCACAGGCTTATCTGTCGTGGGGCTTTGAGCAAGCCACTTCACCTCTGAGTGCCACTCTTTTTGCCTGGCTGCCTCCCCGGACTGAAGATAATGGTGGGAAAGTTCTTTGAAATGCATCACACACCTACCAGGCATTATTAAGCTAATTCCAAGGAAATTGCTTGTCAGGACTCCCAGGACTGAGCTGTTCAGGTGGCCGGGACAAAAGCTTAGACCAATGTGCCAATCCATTAGTCATTAGAGAGTGAAAGCAATTTGGCCCTAGGTCAGAAAACTCCCAGAGGATAGTGCCTCCCGCCGTCATCATCGTCGTTGTAACACTTATCTATGTAGTACTTAGCAGGTGCCAAACTCCATTTTATCTTAATTTTTTCTAATTGTCACTACAACCCAGCAAGGTTATCATTACTGCTGTTTCAGAGGAAACAGACTCAGAGGCTGAATAATTCGATCCAGGTCACAGCAAGGCAGTGGCAGCAGGTTGAGGAACACTCGTTTTCTCTAACAGCAAAGTCCACAATTCTCGCCTTGACTTCTGATAAACTGTTTTCCCCTGAGCCAGCCACGTATTTGGACCCCAGGAGGATCTGGCTGTCGCGCGCCGCTTGCCAGCAAGTAGACACGCAACATTCAGGATTCTTCTGAAGCTTTATTCAGGAAAGGAGAAGGCTCTCTATAGAGGAAGTACAGCAACTAATATAATCTCTTACAGCAACGGGGCATGCTTTGATTGGTTACATGGGATACACATGACTTATGCTTCTCTAGCCCCAAAGGCATGATCAGCTCGTGATCACTACTTATTTGGCATACGGATATGCATGATAAACCACAGGCACTTATGCAACTTGCTAAAATAAGGAAGTACACTTATTAGGAAATAGAAAGAAAGAAAAACAAGAAGAACAAAACAGGAAGACTCCATTTTACAATACACTCGCCATTTTAGATCAGCGGTGGCAAAGAGGCCGGTTCTCATGCTTCCCACATCTCACCCTTCTTTTTATTAAAAGGCTCAGGAATATGTCTGTCTTACGTTGTCCAGGACGCACTCAATGCCTTACCCGTACAGAGAATGATGATACCGCGTGGGCATTGGAACATGGCGAGGCATGCGAACTACCACTGCATGAGGGAATCTTGTGGCATCCCAACAGGATGCATAGAAACAAGTAACATTGGTACAATTCAAATCAGCAAGAGAGTCAGAAGCATTTATCACAAGCCAGAAAAAAGGCTGCCAAACACAAACTGGGGTGGGTTCAAAGGTGACATTCCCGAGAGGTACATAGGCAGGAGTAGGAGGGGGTGTGGTCGTGGAGATGCCGGGCGCAGCCGTCGAACACGGGCTGGAGCCGGCAGCGGCCATGGACTGTCTGATTAAAACTGCGGTTGGATCTGAGCTACTACAGAGGGCCGTTCTTATCCCCTCCGGTGTAGACATGTTGAACGAACGACCCCTCGAGTATCTCCCGGCGCCCTGCATGCCTCCTCCTATCATGGCAAATGGACGCAGATCGGAACAACTACCATTAGTACCACAGAGCAACCAATTATCAAAGGGGTTGGTCCACTCTTCAGAGTTGGTCCGCTTATTAGTATAAGGGACAGAAGGATTACGTGAACCAAGGAATGTTCTAAGATCTGGGGAGAAAGTGAAATAGGGATCGATTATCCTGGTGACTTTCCTACTCTGGCATTCGGTCCAAGGAAACGGCATCCTTTTAGGGGTTCGTTTACAAAAAGGCGCCCATCTAGGTTGCAGAGGGCCGGATGCATTGAGCTTTCCATTTGGCCACCATCCTTGAATCCAGGGGGCTTCCACTGTGCGGTTGTTTTCCGCAGGTCTCCACGCTAGTGCAGTCCCTAGAGTCAACTGGACGCAGGGCGGACTAGAAGAATTAAAACTAAAACATAGGGATCCGGTCAAATTGAAATGTCGATCACCTTCGATGGGACTAAAATCTTTATCGAAAGGCAAGGAGGCCAGATTCATGGACTCATTTGAGGAGAAAAAATATGGGAAATACGGAGCATCATGCTTAATAGGCAGCGGGATCGGGAACACCGACATTATTCCCCAATAATGTGTAGCTGAGACAACAAAGAACAAGGAGAAAAAGGAAAACAAGGCAAAAATCCACATAATTATAATCAAAATTATTCTTTGCAAAAGAAATTATAGAACCTCCTTAAAAAGAATCAAAAACCCAAATATACCCACTAAAGCAAAATAAACAAAAAGAAAAATTACCTTATCGAAAATACTATAACTATCAGGAAAAACTGCACAAAACCCTATAGCAAATAAACAAACAAATCAAAAAGGCAAAAAATAGAAAAGGATAAAGCATAATAAAATTCATGGGGAGGCTGACACGGCTGACAATTCTGGATCCGGATCCGCCGATGGCGACTTCTCCACCTCAATTTCCCCTTTCCTTATTTGTTGTGGAGCAGGCGACTGCCAACAGTGACGGGTCAATCTGGTGGGCACCCAAATGGGATCCAAGCGATCCTGTGGAAAAACACAGATAGCTCCCCTGGATCTGTGTAATACAGGATCCGGTCCATGCCATTGGCCTGTTAGAACATCTTTCCACATGATGGTTTCAGTACGTGCAACAGCTTTGGAGTTGTGCCTATCGGCAGCAGAATGTCCTGCATCATCCAACACCAAGAAATTTAGGGTAAACATTACCAAGGACAAGGAAGCCCCAGGCTTTAATGTTGGAACTAGGGCATTCTTTTGCTTCTGAAGATAACTCTTAAGGGTACCATTAGCACGTTCCACAATTCCTTGTGCTTGTGGATTATACGCTAATCCTGTGACATGATTAACTTGCATCATAGTGCAGAATTTTTCAAATGAATTTGAGGTATAGGCAGGCCCATTATCTGTTTTTATGGTGGTCGGCTTTCCCCAAGCAGACCAAGCAGCAAGACAATGAGTGATTACATGATTCACCTTTTCTCCAGTATGGGCTGATGCAAAAATAATACCTGAATGAGTATCCACTGAAACGTGCACATATTTTAATGTGCCAAAACTGGAAACATGAGTAACATCCATTTGCCATAGATGAAGAGGTGTTAAACCTCGTGGATTCACACCTACATGAGGCACAGCACGATAAGGAGCACAGGTTTTACATTGTGATGTAATTTGCCTGGCTTGATTGCGCGTAATTGGAAAACGTCGGCGCAAGGTGGCTGATGGAACATGATATAGGGAATGAAATTGTTCTGCCTGCTCCTCAAAGGAGAGTAGGATGTGCTTAGCAGCCATGTCTGCTAATTTATTACCTTCTGCCATAGGTCCAGGAAGCAAAGAATGTGCTCGCAAATGCTGAATGAAGAAAGGAGCGGAGCGCATCAGGATAATAGATCTTATCTGCTCAAAAAGAGTCTTTATTGGACTGTTTGAAGAAATACTTCCTGTTGCTTCCAATTTGCTAACTGCATTAACCACATAGTAAGAA